ACACAACATCTTAAATGAGCTGGTAGAAATCTCTGCAGTTCTGATGATGAATATCCTCCTTCTTCATTGTAAGATTCTGAATCAGAATTGTGACGTCTATACGTGTTCTGGTATAACGTACTTGATTAGGCTACGGGCAGGTAGACAATCAATATATCGCTCTCTAGTAATACTGGTAATTACTGTATTTATTGTATTAGTTATATGCGATGTCGAGCCGAGACTTTTTACAAGCTAACGAGAGAGAGACTGGGGCGCCCTCGAGTCTTAAGACGCCTTTGTCTGTTACTAACGCTATATGTCACATCCCTCTTTTTCAAGATTTAAACTGAATACAATCAAAATATGAAATTTGAATTAATTAGGCTCGAGATCTTAAGTTGAACAAGCAAATGAATTTGTCTCAAATAAAAGGCTAAACTAAACTTCACAATTCCAAATTAGAACGTTAAATAACGTGTTAAATAAGACTGGTTGCTGATTATAAATTTAATCTTGTTGGTGGTCGAACTGCTCGTCCGGATCGGGTCGTGGTAGTGGGAACTTTGGTGTTCTCGCCAGCCCCTGCAGTTGCCTCGGTATCCTTTGTCTCTGGTTGTTGGTCATCGATATTGGTAGGTCCTTCGAGTCCTATTGGAATGGCTGTCGACGGCTGTTTATTTTCTCCCATGTTCGCTGCTGTTCTGTGCACGTCTGAGTAGTTACGTCGAAGTACAGTTCTTTCTGAGGTTTTGACGATTACTGATCGTGGCGCTTCATGATGTGTGACCACCGTGCCTCCTTTCCATTGTCGATGTCCGGTTCGTATTCGAACATTTTCACCTGGTGTGACTTCTAGTTTCCCAGGCCTAGTTCGATCTGCATATTTCTTCTGTTTCTGACGAGCTTCTTCGAGGGCTTTGTTTGTATCAGTTTTCTTCTCCGTATTTGCTGTTGGAAGTGTCGTCCTGGTCGGCTTGCCAAACAGTCTCACTGCTGGTGATTGTAATCCTGGTCTGGGAGTATTTCGTGCAGCGAGAAGTGCCATTTGTATATCAGAATCATCTTGTTGGCATTTTTTCAGTAATGCTTTCGCAGTTTGCACGAACCTCTCGGCTAATCCGTTGGATTGTGGATATCCTGGACTCGATGTTACGTGTTCGAAGTTCCATTGCCTTGCAAACTTCTTAAATTCGCTTGACGCGAATTGCGGTCCGTTATCTGATATTAATTTCTTCGGAATTCCGAATAATGAAAACCAATGTTTAAGGATTTTGATAATAGACTCACTCGTTGTTGTCCTTAGTTTGACTACATCGTAGAATCCGGAGTAGCTGTCTACTATAAGAATATACATATCTCCTTTTATTTCAAATAGGTCCGTTGCTACCGTATTCCAGGCTTCATTGGGAATCGGATGGAGCTGTATCGGTTCCTTGATGTTTGCACGTATATATGTCTGACAGATGACGCATTTATTCGCATAGTCCGTTATATCTTGTGTCATTTGTGGCCAGAATATCGCTTCTCTTGCTCTGTGTAGATTGCTTTGTATTCCTAAATGTCCTTGGTGTATTATCTTCAAGTATTTGGATCTCAGCGTTGCTGGTATCAATGGTCGATCACCTTTAACTATTATTCCATCGTATAGTGACAATTCGTCACGGTAGTTCCAGTATTTTTGTAACTGTGCCGTTACGTCTTTCACTTCAACTGGCCAACCGTATTCGATGGTATTCTTGAGCATTTGTAACTCGTCATCTTCTTTTACTGTTTTCTGTAGTTCCGTTTGTGCATTTGTTGACATTGGTAACAGTAGATGAACGATTAGTTCCTCGTCATCCTTGGAATCTGGCTCGTTATTTACACAGTCTCTGCTGAGTGCATCAGGAATGGGAATTGTCGTACCCGCTTTGTATACTATCTTTGGTGAGTATGGCATTACGTCAAAGAGAATCTTTTGCAGTCTTGTTGGTGCGGCTAGTAGG